TTGTTTGTGTGTTTTGTTGAGAGGGTGTGGGGGCTTTTGTTTTATTTTGTTTTTTTTGGCACGTTGCGAGCAACAGTGTGTTCTTTGGGAGTTATGTAGCAATGTTTTTTTCAGATCTGTCACTATAGTCAATACAGTTTTGTTAATACTGTTGATGTAGTGTTGTTGGTCTAGACCAGTAGTAAACACTGTAGATATTGAATTTTAAACCCAGACTAATTGCGAGGCTGACTATTCAGGATGGCCAAAGGTCAATAAATAAGTAAATAAAATAAATAAAAAAGGAATTGAAACACTCAAAGTTTCCAGCAGTTGTTGAGTCATATAGCCATCCATGCTAATCCAGTATATTGTCATTTACAAAGACAAAGCTAATTAAAAACATACCTTTCCAGTCTGGAATACTTACCTTTTCAGTCCATCCCTGGACTGAAAATACTAGCGCTGCTACAGCAGACCAAATTGGCTGGTTTGGAAAAATGGCCTGCAGTTCTCTGACAGTTCAACTTTAAGGACAATAGTGAAGAAAGGTGAATTGACTCTTTTAACGTTACATGATGCGTTCTTGTTTTTCTTGTGCCTCAATTCAGATCCAGGTGTCCTATTACCCTCCTGGTCAGTATCCCAGTTCAGGCCAACAGTACCGTGTTCCCCAGCCCATGTCTCACCAGGTGTCTTATCCTGCCCAGCGCACTCAACCTATGCCTCAGCCCACACAACAGTCGGGTAGGTATATTGTACTGTGTTTTACCAGTGCTATTCATTGCATGAACCCATGCATTGCGTGGGTTATTGGGCATTCAGTTTGAATGAGCTTTGTTAAAGCCGCAGCTCCGACATTGTCTGCCTTCCCTGCAGATTCTGTTGCTGCTGGCATGAAAAACAGAGCAAACATTAGCTATAGTCCTGGTGCAGAAACATGGTATTCATTCAGTGGGGTTTATTTACAGTACAGCGGAGCCTCTGTTTTTGAACTTAATCTGTTCCTGAAGGCTGTTTGTGAACTGAAAAGTTTGAAAACTGAGACTATTTTCCCCATAGGAATCAATGTGAAATAAATGAATCAGTTCTTAGACCCCAGATGATTGCTTATTCAACAGTATTTTGTGTACAATTCCATACACAAAATACTGTTCCACTTTTTCTAATGTCTGAGATCTTTGCTTGGTGATCACAGTCACTCCTACGGCAACATTCTTTTATTGCTTCCTTGTTCTTAGTGATCGTACAAATCGACGACTTCGGTAAAGCCAGATCTGAAACACGAGCTCCGTTCTCATTCTTTTGAATAATCTTTCTTCAATCAATTTACTTGTTTAATTACCTGTGACGTTACATCTGAATTGAAAGCATTGCTATTTGGGTCTAACAGTACTATTTGGGGAAAAAAAGTGATTTATCTAGATGAATTGATTACAAAGCCTCTAATTATTCAGATTATATTTTTTAATCACCTCCCCCACATTTTTTTTTTTAATTTTTTTTTTTTTGGCAGCGGTTAATATACACAGCTTTTCATACACTTTTTGGTCTACAAGGTAAAGGTAAGCAACCTTGGTTCTACATGTGGTCTGCCAAGTCAAACACACGATGACAAAAATAGAGCCCTGTCTTTTTTTCATGGAAAACCCTTGACAAATGTGTCTATACTCGGTGTCTTTAAATCTGGCTCTGTAGAGTGTGTATACAGTAAGTGACACACAGACATCGATGACAGCCTGAATGGACTCTGACTCCTGCTCAAAGCCTGCCAAAACCATGTGAATCAAGGCCGCGTGGAGTGGTCAGAGTGACCCTGCATCGGTGTAACCCTCGTGATTGGTTTGAGAAAGGCTGTTTTTGACAAAAGTGTTATTTGTTTAATAAAAGCTTTACAAGAAATTCTTTATTATGGTTTCCAGTACGCATTGTGTTCTCATTCCAAGCTTTTTTTCAAAATATAAGCTGTGAGTTTAAGTAGAGTGCATTTACTAAATACTACACTTTTTATTTATATATGAATCAAATCCTCCTGTTTAATACATTTGTTGTGTATTTCCTCAGGTTGTACTCACCTGTATTCTTTGTCATTCTTCATTAGGTCTCCAAACAATGATGCCGAGCCAGCAGCAGAGTTACCAGAGTATGATGGGTGTGCAGCAGCCCCAAAACCCTGGTCTGCTCAATTCCCAGAGGGCCGGCATGGGTGGACAAATGGGGGGACAAATGCAGAGCATAATGGTCCAGTACCCACAGATGCCATCATATCAGGTACAGGTAGTGCCTGTAACTTGTCTAAATGTGATTGAGTATAGCGTTCCCTCAATGTTTTCAAAACAGTAACAACAGCTCCCCCTGGTGCACACTAGCATCAGTGGCACAAAAAAATACAGTGTTACCTAAGAAGTTTTTTGACACTTTTTTTTTATTATTAGTTTGACAGTTTTTTTATAAATTATATAACCAATTTACACATGAAATAAGATACAACTAAAATACTTTCACATTGAAAATGCATTTGTCAAAGGCAAATATAGATATACAGTAGGTAACGACAATGAAATGAAAATCTACTCACTGCTAATTTAATATTAGGTTAAAGTAGAAAATAGAAAATAATATTATTAAGACCCACTGGTGTGAAGTGAATGTCTCCGGGAGCTCCTGGTCTGCGCTGTATGCAGCAAAGACTCGCTTTTGCGCAAAGAGGCTCTCCTTCCTTTCATATTCAGCCTAGCGATCGGGATGTTTGGCTTTCAGGTGATAAATTAAACCCGCCGTGGAGAAATTCACGCATTACACGTTTTGCAAATCGCTATCCGTAGGTCTTTCTGAGATATTTTGAAATACGTCCACACTGAAAACATGTTGATATTTTTGGAGATGCCCGCGCTGGCTGTGGTTTTCGCTTGCGTCATCATAACTTCCTGTTTTGGCCGCTTTGTTTTGGTGATGAAAGTCTTTTCTGTGCATCCCTAGTCTATACCGTTGTATATTCTACCATAGAATTTGTTCATATGTCACTTTTTGCATTTTAACATTTAAACACCTTAGTAAGGAACATATAAGAAATTATAAAAAATAAAGATATATAAATATATATATATATAAAGATTAAGTAATTCTTACGCTCTACTTCTCACTTCTTATTTAGATGGTGATAAAACAGCTATGAGGAAGAAGACCAGTCCTGAGTCATAGTTAACCTTTATCTTCTCCTCTGACCTCTCACCTTTCCCCAGGTGCCAGTGGGGAATGAAAATCAGCAGGTGGTGCAGCAGCAGTACCAGCAGCAGGTGATGGTTCCAGTCAGCCAGTCGGTTCAGGGACCAATGCCTGTCTACTACAGTGTTATCGCACCTACACAGCAGAATAGCACAAGGTACACATGGGGACGAATACTTCTTATACAAATATTCTGTGTATAAAAGTCCATTATTAGTAGGGGTGTGTATTCGTTAGAGTCTGTCAGTACAATATGTATCACGATACAGGGCCAGTGATACCGTATATTGTTATACACTATGATACTGTAGGCACAATAATTTGAGTGTTTTTTTCTTGCAGTCCATCTGTCAGTTATCTGCAGCCCCCCAGCAATGAGCAGTATCAAATCACACAATCGCCATCTCCATGCAACCCTCCGCAGTTGCAGCAGCAATATTCAGGTGAGAGATTGTTTTCTGCAATAGTTGTTTTCAAACAACTTCTGCATCACCTACCATCTATAATTTTTTATTTCACGTCAAACTAAAAAGTTGGTCTTAACGTAACATAACCTTCTTATCCAAATGGGAATTCGATTCCATGTATCACTAGAGGGAGCCATTGTACCATTATTGGTGTGCATACCATAGTTTGAGAACCTTGAGAACTACTAAGTGATTTTAATTAAGAAACATAAAGTAAATAAACATTACTGGGTTTTTTTTAATCTATAAAAAATCTTTTTTTTTTTATAGATTTTAGAGACACTATAAATGTTATTTAAAACAGAACCATCCAGTATTATTTAATAAAAATTCCTTCTATTTTTGGGTTAGTTCATGGCTTCTTGTAACTGCTCTGTATAATCAGGTGAAGGGTTATCGGGTGAGAGTTCAGACACAGACTGCTTTCTGTGATCAAGGTCATGTTTAAAGTAATCAGGAGAGAAAAAAAAACAAAACCTCATCAAATCACATTTGGCCTTAAGTAAATGTTGATCGAATCGAAATCCATCCAGTCTTTGACCTTTGCTGTGTTTCATCAGTTGCTGTAGAAATGATCTCATTGCCCATTTTCTCACTTCAGCTTTTATGTTAGTCTTTTGTCATTAAATGTACATTGTTTTTTCATACTTACTTCAGCCCTGAGGCATCATCCACTACTCAGCCTGAGCTTTAAATGTTATATGAAGTCAGAATGTCAGCTGCTTGTGTTACTTTTGAAAAGTTTGTATGTCGTTAATCTTGCTGTGTTTGACGTCTGTGACTGGATAATGAATGTTTGTCTGCCTCCCTGCTCTTAGGGGTCCCACCTCCTGGACCTGGGGTGATGGTCATGCAGCTCAGCGTCCCCAATGGACCACAGCCTTCCCAGAATCCTCCTTTGGTCCAATGGAATCCATGCAAGTACTACAGCATAGAGCAGAGACCCAGCAAGCCAGGGGAGCTCTACAAACCTGAAAACACTCCACAGGTACGGGGTCTTCACCAGGACCTCTGTGGTCTTTGATAAAAATGCTTCAACTTTGTGTTTGCTTGTGTCATCTATTTTTTTTTTTTTATTTTCAGTTTCAGTTGGTCCTATTGTTGAAGGGTACCTTAGTTTAAGTAACAAGGCTCTGTGTGTGTGTGTGTGTGTGTACCCATCCTCGTATTTAATATTTTTTCTTTGTGTCCAGGCCAGTACCCAGCTGACAAGTCCTCTGGCCTCCCCCACTCAGTCTCCCACCCCGTCTCCTTCTGGCAGTGTCAGCAGCGTCTGTCCAGGCCTTGGACCACTACCCCTCATTTCCCAGTTTCCCCGGCCAGGAGGACCAGCCCAAGGTACAACTCAACCACTGACTAATGGAATCATTACATAAAGACTGAGAGGCCGGGGGAGAGATGCTGCATTTTACTGTAACTCCTCCTCTTTGCAAACCCAGACCTGTTCAGACCTGTTCTCTTTATCACTTATCACAGCAGCGTATGTAAAACTTCACCGTGACCAGAAACCACACCTTTTTTTTTTTCACGTGGGAAAGCTGTGACAGGACAACGAGCGAGACAGAAAGGATAGAGAGAGAAAAATCCCCTCGTGTACAGAAAAAAAAAGAAACAACACCCTATTCTTAAGGGAGGAAATCTGATGTTAGAGCCTCAGATGTGAAGCCATCTCTCTCATTTGATTGGTGTGAAAGAGCAGAAAAGGTGACAAAAGAAAGAAAACTAGGAGCAGGAAACACTTTTATAACCGTCATAGAATAATTTTCTTGGGCCTGTCAACATAAAGAAACCATAACATCATAATATAAAATTATTGACGACTTAGTAAAAGTCCCAATAAGCCTTGAACTCTGAGTATAAACAGCTTAAGTGATCAGAACTTTTCAAACCATACATTGGCAAATAATGAGAATACAGTGTTTTCTAATATTCGTTTTATGTTAACTTATATTAATAGGATCTAGAATAGTTGAGGCACCTGGGGTGACGTTTGTAATGGAGGTTACTGTGGTCCTCCTGGGCAGTGAGTTCTCCATTTTTGACTTCATTCTTATGTAGTAAATGTGTCTTAACTGTTTGTGTACTTGATGTTTAGGTGATGGTCGCTACTCCCTGTTGGGTCAGCCTCTCCAGTACAGCCTTTGTCCACCTCCCCTCATACACGGCCAGTCCTACAGCTCTCACCAGGTCAGTGCTGCCTGGCCTGTTGACGGCAGGAATAGCGTCCTATTTGAGGATTGCAAACCAGACGTTGAAATAGCAGTCTATTGGTGGTTATGTATTACATCATATTATAGTTTGATTCAAGTGCATTTCCAAAAACATGATTGTTACTAAGTTTATTATTTGATACATTTGTTTTTCTATCTGTTAAAACAGTGTTTTTAAATAAAGGCTCATTCAGAAACTTTTCTTTCTGCATTAGGAGCCCTGCCATCCTGACTGTCCATCCGTCGTTGTTTGTCATAAATACTTCTGGCTTCATTATTAAGCAGATGTTGCTGCTTCCCGCGAAGGCTTCCATGTTTGCTTTTACCCCCACCGTGAGGTTTGACATGTCACTGTGTTTCAGGGCCAAGGCGTCATGAAACACGGGGCACGAGGAAAGAAGCAAACACTCAAATCTGCATCAACAGATCTTGGCACGACTGATGTTGGTGAGAAAAAAAAAACCCCATCTTATATTAAACTGTTTATTTTCTCTAGTCTTTCAGCATTGAATATCCATCATCAATGCATCATCGACATCACAGGGTCCAACAACCGCAGTGTTGAAACAAATGAGAGAACACATTGAATCATGTCTTTTAAAATTTGGATCAATTAATTATTTTATTTTTTTTTAGGTTTAACACTAGCATTAAATACAATTAAATACAATATAAGACATTTATCACAGCCATCACAAGCAGTAAAGTAGCAGGATTAGGTCAGATGAACCTTGGTTGGTGTACAGCTCTACAAATCAGCATGGCTCTGCACTATATTACACCATACAAAAGGAAAATATATTAGAAAATATTACATAATGAGATTTGTAATATGGACCAAGGCAATATAACTAATATATATATAATATTATAATATATATAATATATTACATATATAATTTACATATAATATATAATATTTATTTAATAAATATTTCCTGCCAACATCCCCAGCCTGGCACTGACTCCTCCTTTCTCCCTTCTGTCCAGTGTTAAGTCGAGTGCTCGAAGTAACAGACCTGCCAGAAGGAATTTCACGTCCAGATGCTGAAAAGCTCTTTAACCAGCTGTCAATGTGCGGTGCCAAGATCCAGTGGCTGAAGGAGCCGCAGGGAGTGCGAGGAGGAGGAGTCTGCGGCCCCTGTCCCAACGTAGGTCCTCTAGGGCCCGGGGTCGGTATGATGGCTGGAGGAGCCAAGGGTGAATGTAATGACCCGGCTCACCTCTACACGGTGGTGGCAGTGTTCCCCAGCACCATGGCCGCCCAGAGTGCTTCCTTCAAACTCAACAACAGCGGGGCCAGTCTCTTCAAACTGAGGGCAGCCAAAAAGAACTATGACCTGCGTGTGCTGGAGAGGGCCAGCTCACAGTGAAAGGAGCTGAGAGGGGGGGGAGGAAAGAAGGAAAGTGGAAGAGACAGAAACAAAGAGAGACTCCTGGTGGATCAGTGGAGAAGGGAGCAAGACTGAGGAGGACTGCTCTTAGTGTACAATTTAAAAACAGACAAAAAAAAACCAACAAACAAACTCCAGTTTAATGTATAAAAGGGAAGAAGGTGTGAATCATAAGGTGGCTGGTGTTCGGTTGCAAATCTGATTTTGTCGTTTGTTTTTACTCATAGTTTTTGTTTTGTATTTATATAGCAGAAGAGCACACAAGACACGTGAGCATGTGTTTCACTGTTGCCGTGGAATGTGTGCTGCCGTCATACAGAATCATGCGAACATGCGCACACACACACACACGACCACAGACACAAACCAGGAGACACACAAACACAGGCAACAGGGTCACGTAGCACATAACCAAGAACACACTGGACAGTTGACCTCAGTCGGAAAATCTCCTCTCCAACCCTTGCTCCTCCATCTGCCCTCTCTCTCTTTCTTTCCTTCTTTCTTTCTCTCTCTGTCCCTCCTTCCCTTTCTCTCTCCCTCTTTCTCCCCTCCCTCGCCCAGTTGTCTCCTGGTCTAACATATTTATACATTTTCATATGCACAGTTGCACACTCACTCTTTCTGCTCCTCCCTGCTGCTCCTCCCTCTTTTCTAGCCATGTCTCATACTGCCTCCTGCTTCCTCTGCTCCTCTCTCTCTCCCTCCCCTCTATCCTCTTGCTTTCTGTTTGCCTTACTGCTGTTGTGGGTTTCTGTATTGCGCTGTTTTTTTGGACTTTTTTTTTTTTTTCTCCCTGAAAAATTCTCTCTTTCGTTTTCTTGGGGTTCAATATATTTATATAAGTGATGTAAGGAATAAAAGAAATCTATATATTCAGTGATCTTTCTTTCTTTACCTGAGTGACAAAGTTTAGGGCCTTCCTGTATCCTTTTCCTCCCTCTTCCTCTTCATCCCCTCCTCCTCCTCCTCTTCTGCCCTCTACCTCACTTCCTCTTTTCCCCCAAACTCTCCCACAAAGTGTCCCACTCCCCCCCTCGCTCCACCCCAGCGCCCCGCAGTGTTTGCGTTTATTTTTTGTTTTTTGTTGACAGCTGTGCAGAACGTATCAGAAGAAGTAGTTAAAGTGCACAATGATTGCATATGTCTACTGTAAATTTTATTTAATCTGTTATTTTTGTTTGTTTTTAAAAATATAAAAGTGGAGAAAAAAACGATCAAACACCTTCTGTGTCTCTTGGTTCATTGCTTTTTCACTTGAAAGATTTTGTAAAAAAAAAAAAAAAAAAAGATTGTTCAACTTTAACAGGCAAAAGAACAAACAAAAGCTCAAAAGAGTGTTGTTTCTGATAAATGTATTTTGTTTCACAAATGTATTTAGAGAGTGAAGACCAAAAAGGTCCTTAATTTGTCAGGTAACTTGTACCAGACCCATGTTTGTTCACCTTTAAGCTTTTCTCGGGGAATACATGCAGATTTTAGGTGTTAATGACATCAAAGACTGGTTTTAATCTCTTATTAAGATTTATTAAAATTTGGGGGAAAATACAATTTTGCAAGACCTGCTACATTCGGCATAAAAATCTAAATATCATCTGCATACACATTGAGTCTCTGTATTCTCTGACTGACCTGCCTGCAGTCCACATCTGTCTTGTTTGTATATATATGTATAATTTTTTTTCTGTAAACAAATTCTTAAATGATGAAAACATATTATTGCATTTTCGATATACGTATATCGTACGTATTATCGTATGATTGCAGACCTAAACATACCTCGTCGTAAACATACCTCTTGCAAATCCTTCGAAACTCTATTTTTTTTTTCTTTTGCCTGTGTGTTACCATTTACAAATCCCGATTTTACTGCGTTTGTTCCATTTGTTTGAAGTGCATCATTCTTTCTTGACGCATGGTTTTCGCAGTAAAACTGCCATTTGTTGTGTCGGTGTGTGTGACTGTATTCTAATAATACTTTGTACTGGCTAAGAGGAAACCAGGGGTTGAGACTTTGGGTTTCAACCACTTAACTAGTGGAGCTCAGCTGTCCCAAACAATCACTTGGGGGAACACAGACACATACACACACATATACACTGAGAGTCGGGGCTGGGTTGGGACTGGGCTGGGCTGGGCTGGGTGGGCCTGCTGGCATTACTCATCTAAATCTCCCACCTGTTGAAGTCTCATTTCAAAAGTAGAGCATGTAAAGGAAAAGTTCGGACAGAATTCACACAAGTTGTCATTTCTGAAGGGACAACGGCCCTGGGATTTTGGTGGAAAGCGAAGTTTAACGGTCAGTTTAATTTTTTACATGTGCATGAACTGCTGTGAAAATTCATCTCCTGGACTGTTGTAGGTAATCTCTTATCAATGTGCCTGCAAACTGTTCTAGCAAATAGAGCAATTTGAAATGATCGACGTGATGTATATGTAATCAAATACGGTCGACATATTTTGATGTTACTAATAACCCCAGACTAATCTTGGCTTTGTGTCGAAGTTGATGCTGCTTCCTGAAAAGATCCATATCCAACCCTAATTTAACTAACTTGTGAAGTTTCTAAAACATTTTTTTTCTTTCTACAGTGACCTCTACTGGTTAGGAAAAAGAACCCCGACCAAACACCATGGCTCATTTTGACTCGTAAGTTGTTATAAAGTCATTAAAAATCATCATTTGCATTTTTAAAATAAATATTTTATTTTT